TTCCACATTTTCTAGCTTTTGGAAGAAAACATTTTCTTGTTGTTTTGGTTGGAATTGATTTTCCAGGTTCTTAGGCTTTTTTTTTTTTTTGACAATTGGAAAAAATTCTGGACACAATGGTAAAAAGAAATTTCACTTTTATTGACAATTTCCATGCAAAACAAAGTCAAACGAATGATATTCGGTATAGTAATTTTTTTTTCTTTTTGGCAATTGTAACAAATTCTAGACCCAATGGTAGAAAAAATTATCACTTTAATGGACAATTTCCATAAAAAAAAAAAAGCCAAAAGGAACCAAACTTTCAACATTTTCCATGTGGAAAATTATACCAATCAAACACAATTAATTACAATTCTCAGTAAAACAATTTCTAAACAATTCAATTCCCTGAAAATATTTTCTTTCCACTCATTTTTTACATTTATAATCAAACGGACCCTAAATCTTTTTTCTTGGGAAAATGGTTTTCCTCATAAAATATAATAATTGAATTTAGAAAGAGAGATGCATTATGCAATGTAAATCCAAACTTCCTGTTTGGAAGCTTCTATTAAAAGTTAAAACATATATTATCATCCCATCGCCTCAAATCTCTTCTTTGTAACATGGTAAAGATGGTTGACTGATAGTGATCATAACCCGCGTAGAGAGATAGGCCAAACTATTCTCAAGATAAAAAATAGGGATCCTAGCTAGCTAAGACAGTGCACATGATATGTTATTTCCCACTATATCAAATAGTTTATAGTACATCGTGTTCATATAAAAAATAGTCATATATAGACAGTCACGATCAATAACTATATGCCCACTAGATACTGATGTGTTCGTGCAACTTAATTAGGATAACGAAGTTTCAAAGAGAGAATAGAAATTACTATTCATGAACGTCAAGAAGTGAGCTATACACGCAACATATTTTTTATGATAAAAAGTTCACCATTGAATTTTATATTTATATTATTGAAGAAAACTCTAGAATAGGTGAAAAAATCTTTGTGAAATCAAGATTAAGTATTTTTCATTAAATCACTGTAGATGGCTTGATTTATTTATTAATGAAATAAATAAATCACAATATGAGAAAATAGAAACTTACCCCCATCCAAAGAAGGGAGTACAATGAAAAACTTAGTGCATGTTCTAATGACAAATTTGTTGTTTTTGGTGTTTTCAATTATAATCAAGTCAAAATTTTCAAAAAGCGTTTTGGGTGTTTTCAAAATTTCAAAAAGAACATATTTTCAACAATTTTAAAGGACACTCAAAACACAAAATCCAAAATGAATTTAAAACTCAAAACAAAAAACTGAATTACAAAGAGAACATCCCCTTAATTACCTCTGAATTTTCTATAATAAGTGCGCCCAAGTATTTTCTTTTATATTCTAATATGTTTTTTTAGGTGTTTGATGCACAAGTCAAACATATTACTGTCAATCTTTCAATCTATTCTCAGCTTTGATAATTCGAGATGTGTGGACGTATAGATTACCACATAGATATCTACCCATGCACATTGTCGAGCGTCGTTTCCATAGCTCAACTAGGATTACAGTCTAGTACCATCAAAACTAGTTAAATGATCGTGAGAGGATAACTCTAGAAAATTAGGTATTTGCCACTTCTCACTCATTTTATCATTTTCTATAGCTCATCCAAGTCAAGGTCTCTATCTTGTCCAGTTTCCCTTTTTAATAAAGTCTTCAGTCTAGCATTGAGAATGAGCAATGTTACGTGCTAAAAGAATTAGGATGAATCTAGATTTCAGATCGATTACAAAAAGACTCCATCGCATGTTCATGTGTCCTTAAACATTCGTGTCTCAGCTACTTTGACACAATTGAGCGAAAAGATGTTTCGACCACCTAGACTCCTCAGAGCAATGGAGCATGCAAAACCCTAATATTTGATAAATAGGGATCCTAGCTAGCAAAGCTCCGAAACCCCATTTGTTCCTCTTTCTACACAAAAATTGACTTCCAAAACATTCTCAAAATCCTCGAAAGTAAAGAAAACCCCGTCGAAACTTGGAGAGAAAAACTACAATTAACTTTAAAAATTGATTTTTGTTTTATGAGATCAACAAGTAATATTTTCTAATACCTGCCAATGCGATGGAATCTTAAAGAATAAAAAAGAAAAAAAAGGTTAAACTGTATGATGAATGACATCATTAGCAGATGATGAACGAAAAAGCAGCACTAGATTACTAGAAAATCAAGCTATGCTTAATTATAGGCAATTAGGCATCCCTACTCTACTGATCATGGTTAAACACAGGTTACAAGCTCCTTAAATTTTCTCAGTTGCTTAATCATGTCGCCGGTGGTTTGGGTGTCATTTGTAACTAATTTTAGGTTCTTATCCTCTGGATATTGACACAAAGTAAAAGGTCGGTAAAAGTAGAGTAAATTCAACTATAGATATTAATATTTAGACAAATATAAGTAAATTATTGTCGGATTACCTAACTTTGGTTAATTTGTAAAATGATAATTAGGTTTATGGAATTTAAGGTCTTTAAGAGACGAAAAGTAGAATCAACTTTCGGCAAATCATAAATGGCGTTGTTTTACACGGCACGACACGACACAATTACGCATTTAATCTTTTTTATTTAGATAAAAATTATATTTTTAGTAAATTTTGATCAAATTTGATTAAATGTGTGGTTGAAAAGTTATAAATCGTATAAAATGTGAGATTAAAAATGAATTTTAGAAAATGGGGGTCAAACATGGGTTTAGTAATTGTTTGACTCTCATTTCTTAAAATTCATTTTTCCTTAAATTCATTTTTAACCACACATTTTCTGTAACCCATAATATTTATCAAATTTTCAATCATAATCTTTATTATTATTATTTTTAAATGTACTAACAATTTGATTTGAATCAAAACCAAACAGTAGTTTAATTTCACTCCTTCGAAAGACCATTTTAATTTGCTTTAAGTAAAGGCGTAAGCAATTAAAGGAAATAGTGTCTGAAACGAACGTGAATCTTCTTACCATTTTGTTTTCAAGGGAATTCAACGTAATTTTTGTTTTTCAATTTCAGTAGTTTTTGTAGCGTTACAAGATTACAACTAGAACAATGGTAAAAATGATAACCGATACTACTAGACAAGTTTTAGTCCGACTAGAGCAAGACAAGACGATTTATGTCACGGCATAATGTCAAGTTTTAGTCCGACTCGAACAAGACAAGATAGGGAGACATTTTATGATACTTGAGTGCCTTAGATCACTCGTTTTCCTTAACTCTCATCTAATATTTCACGTGTTAAAAAAATTATGGATTTTTTTTCCTTTTTTATATATAGTATTAAAAAATAAAAATAAAAAAATTGTCCATTTAGCTCCACCTCTGCCTACACCTATAGAAGTGGAAGAAGAAGTTATTGAAAAGTGAATAATGCTATTTATCACTAGTGATGCTTACACCAATCTATATATCATTACATGACAAGTTCAATTAAGGTGAAATTATGTGACTAATTTAATTATATTTTTTATTCCAATGACACTTAATATCGCCTAAACTGCTCTTGCTCTCCAAGTTCGTGGAAGGAAGGTATTCTCTCAACTTCATTACGTCAAGCATTAGATAAAGTCCCCAATGTTTGTATCATCTTCTTTATAAAGTCCATGTTTCTCATTTTTTAAAAACTCAGGGTATGTTCTTTTTATCATTTTCAAATCGTTTTCTGTTTTCGATTTTTCAAAACAGTGAAAACGTGTTCTCTTTCCTATTTTCGAATGTGTTTTTGAAAACAAGTTAAAAATTTATAAAGAAAACCAAAAACAACAAACAGTTATAATCAAGCCAAAATTTTCAAAACGTGTTTTGGGTGTTTTCAAAATGTCAAAAAGAACACATTTTTAACAATCTCAAAATGGACACTCAAAACACAAAACTCAAAATGAATTCAAAATTCAAAACACAGAACTGAAATACAAAGAGAACAGTCATCATATATCCTTTAACTCATTTTCAAACTATTTTATGTGATCCAAAACTTTTATTAATTTTTCTCACATTTCATAATTTTTTATCAAACTATACTAAAAATTTGATTTTTATCTAAACCAAACAAGAACAAAATATACGTATAGTTTTAAAAATAATAATAAAAAAAAAAAATTGAACATGCATTAAGCTTAACAACTGAGTTTCGAGCTATATTTAGAGGCTTATCATTCATCCGGAAACCAAGGATGAAGAAACAGAGTACTTGAAACCAATTCAACTGAAGTCATATATCTACCTAACACGAAATCTCAATAGAGCTTTACTAGAATATTGTTTCTATTTACTTCAATAATGCGAAGATCACTTTAAAAATATGAGGTGCACAGCTTATGGATGTATATAACATCAATCATGCTAGATGTACAATCATTAGTACATTGTAAGTTTTTACAATGTGACATATTAGGGTGGAGCCCACTGATTAATTACCTTAATGTGTCACATTGTAAAATTTACAATGTGTTAATCATTAATGATATAAACATACGTAGAGTTCGTCTTAGTTTGGTCCTCTTTTATCCTTGTTTAATGAGATTAAATCAATAAATTTTGATAAAAATTAATTAAATATGTGATTAAAAAGTTACAGAACTCTTGAAATATGTGGTCAAAATTACTTATTGATTTTAGTTTAGAATAAAATCTGGATGAAATTCATTTGTTTCCCAACTATGTTTTCAAGTACACATGTACACGGCTGTTATTAACTTTTTAACCATTTATCTTATCAATTTTTACCAAAATTTATTAAAAATCTGATTTTTATTGGGAAATTTGGCCAAACACACACGTGTATGTATGTATGAATGTGAGGACCATTGTTTATCTCCTCTGCCAGCTTATTAATATACAGATCCCCACCTCCTTTTCACCCAACCACGATCCATCCATTTCATCCCTTTTCCACAAACTCTGCAACAGCTTGCAAGTTCTTTCTTCAACAAGATCATATATCAAGAAATGGGAACTGGTTGGAGAAAAGCTTTTTGCACAACAATTCCAAGAGACAGAAGAGAAGCCATTACTCCATCGGTAGAAGTGCAAAGCCCGACTCTCAGAAGCTATGCAAAGCTTGGTTTTCAATCTTGTGGAAGCAGCAATCCCTCTACTCCTCGCTTGCGTTGCAAAACCACTATTACTGACAATACAAATGATAATGTTGGTATTTATACTCAAACTCCATCAACCAATGATGATCTCGTTAGTCTTCAATGCAGAACAACCCCAAAATCTTATAGCAAAAGCAAAAGCAAAAGCTTTGGCTCAACCCCATCTTCCCCAAGATCCCCATTTTCAATCCTCAACAAATCCCTCCGCCTATCCAGAGTAAGATTACTATTTACATCACCTTCAGATTCAGTATGTCTTACTCATGTTCCATCTGGTTTTGATTTTTAATGTGTTTCGCTTGGGATTTGCAGAATAGTTGTGGAGTGTGTATGCAGAGTGTGAAGACAAGCCAAGGCATAGCAATATACACAGCTGAATGTTCCCACACTTTTCATTTTCCCTGCATAACCGCTCGTGCGAAAAATCAGAACTCCCTAATTTGCCCAGTTTGCAGCACCACCTGGAAAGATGTGCCTCTACTTTCCAATATCCATAAACTTCAAGAACAAACACCAGTTGATAAAACCAAATATAAAAGAGTACAAGCAGAGCAATCCCCGAAAATTACCCAACAAGTAACGAGGGCGTTCGATGATGATGAGCCATTGGTTTCGCCCAAAAAATTAATTCATATTCCAGAAGCTAACGAGGAGAAGGTTGAAACTGGTGATGAATTTCAAGGATTATTCGTGAACCCCATTTCAAGCAATAGCACCTATCTACAAGACAAAGATGGCATAAATGTGGAGGTGAATTTATTGCCTGAGGCTTCAGTTGTTTCCGTGGGCAGAACCCACCGGACTTACGCTGTCGTTTTGAAGGTCAAAGCCCCTGCACTGCCTCCGCCGCCACCGACCCACGTTCTGGACCCGGCACGACGTGCGCCTATTGACTTGGTTACTGTTCTTGATGTTAGTGAGAGCATGAGCGGTGCCAAGCTTCAGATGCTGAAACGAGCTGTGGGTTTGCTTATTTCCTCCCTCGGCTCGGCTGACCGGCTGTGTATAATAGCCTTCGCGACTAGTCCGAAAAGGCTGATGCCACTGAGGAGAATGACGGCTCAGGGTCAAGGATTGGCTCGGAGCATCATCGACCGGCTTGTCTGTAGCCAAGGTAGCAATGTCTGTGAAGCCTTGAATAACGCCACAACGGTTCTTGACAATCGGCGGCACAAGAACCCTGTTGCAAGCATTATTTTACTATCCGATGGTCAAGATGACAGTGTTCAAGCCAACAACACCAGCACAGCCGCCGCCGCCGCCGCCGCCACAAACAATCGGCGAGAATCGCAACAGGTGACTCGTTTCGCTCACGTTGAAATTCCCGTACGTTCATCTGGGTTTTCTCCAGAGCCAGCCGTGGATGCCTTTTCCAAATGCGTTAGTGGGTTATTGAGCGTGGTCGTTCAAGACCTGAAAATTCAGATTGGCTTCACTCATGGCTCTGATCCAGCCGAAATTTCTGCCATATACTCCTGCCATATGCGTCCTACAGTGATGAACTCGAGCTGCATTCTGGTCGGCGATCTCTACGCCGAAGAAGAAAGAGAATACCTCGTGGAAATGAGGGTTCCAATTGGGTCCCACTCACGCTCAAATCATCATGTGTTTACAGTTAGGTGCAGTTACAAGGATCCAGTAACGCACGAGCTAATCTACGGCGAGGAGCATCCCCTGGTCGTACCCAGACCACGTAATAATGCCATTGGATCAAGATCCTCCATTATTGAACAACGGTTAAAAAATCGTTTCATTACAGTGCGCGCAATTGGGGAGTCTCGGCGATTAATTGAGCACAACGAGGTGTCAAGCGCTATGCAGCTGTTGTCATCAGCTCGTGCATTATTGATACAAAGCACACCAGAGTCGGCCGGCGAGTATGTCAGAGAGCTCGATGTTGAGCTGCAGACAATGATGATGATAATCCAACGGCGGAGGGTTACTGGAAGGGAAATGGGTTTGTTAGTGGATAAGCGTGAGGAGCCACTCACGCCGACATCGGCTAGGAGAGCGGCTGAGAAGCTGGCCAAGATGAAGAATCGAGTGAGCGATTTACACGGCTTTGAAAACGCTAGGTTTTAGCTTCTGTGTCTTTTTTTCTTTTTTCTGTTTTGAATAAAATTACAACAGTATTCTGACCAACTACATACATTACAGGCCAAATTTCACTTTCGATTGCTAGTTTGATAAGATTAGTATACATTTTTATTGAGATTTTCCCGTATTTATGTAATGTTTTTACATTGGACATAGAGTGGTGTTCTGTTTTTCGATGGGATAGACGTAAAAATTTAGAGGTGATCATCTTCAACCCTAAATTTAGCACCATATCTTGTACAAAACTAAAAATCATCTACAACCATACATCAAAAATTATACCAAATAACGGTGTTTAATCATTTTCTTCTCTTTTTTTATTCTTAATAATTTATTTATTTGAAAATTTATTTATTTCTTTCTTTATTTTATAAATATATAAATTACTAAATAAATAATTACGTTAAATTAACTAAAATATTAAATTCATTAGTAAATATAAAAATATATAGTATAATTAATAGAAACACTACAAAAAAAAGAAAATATTAATCATACCATTAAATAATAGTGCAATACATTTCGAATTTGGATATTATTATATTACAAAGTCGAAATAGTGTTGCAATTTAATTCTCGAAATTCGTATGTTCTTTCCACAAATGATCGATTAATGCATTTTGAAGTGCAATGTGAGCCNACACAAATACCCTTCATCAATTAGTTTGGCAAATGGAAAAAATGATAAATTTGACTTTGCCCCATTTTGCACTAAAATGGTGCAAAGTTTGGTATCACATTGGAGAGCTTTTGCACCAAAATTTGCTCCAACCAAGCAGTTGGGTTGGGCTACCCATATTCGTACTTAGTCATGTCTATTAGCCCATCTGGAAAACCCATGCTTTTGTAAGTTTATGCATGGAAACTTGGGAAAATTACTCAAAAACCTACCTTTTAAATGTACATTTCAAATATCAAATATCAAATCTTAAACTTCTCTTTTCACAAATCAGGAATTAAGTATTTATTTATACCTCACGATTTCTCTCTCCTTATCTTACCACAAAAACATCTCCCAATTTTCTCTCTTCTTATAGATGGCTTAGGCGATAAAAGAAAAATTACTCTAGGCCGCTGCTATTATGGGTCATTGGAAGAAAATTCGGACATCATAATTGCTACGCTCAGTCGTGGTGGAGGTGAGGCAATGATTCCCACGGAGGTTAGGGAAATACGGTCGAGTCGAAGTGGCGAGGAGCAAACGGCTGCGACACAAAATTTATATATGTGGGAGGATGAGATGGCATCTTGCCATTAGTACCCACTTGATGACTTTGTAAGCAAAATCTAAATGACCTAAACATGCTTCGATGATTTACAAAGCATATAGATCAAATGCGGAATGACACGAAATCGAAAAAACGTACCTCCCGCCATTGCTTTTCACACACACTTAGGAGTTGAGAGAATGATTTATTTTCGGATTTAGGTGCCTCTAAACCTCACTCAGTCTCAATTAGATGGCGTATTTTTTATTGTAGAAGATTCAAAGGCTCAGAGACCCTATATATATATATATATGTGTGTGTGTGTGTGTGTGTGTGTGTGTGGCTTTGTCCATCACATAGTCGTTCTCAACCGAGCACAAACGTTGGAAAGGCAATTAAGACGTGATTTTGAACATTACTCACATCCCTAAGAGGTGGAAAATGTGGACCATATCAAGATGTTCACGAGAAGAAAAAAACTAACATTCTCCCATTTGGTCCACAAATTCCATCGTTCACCATAGGAAGAAACAGAATACATGAATCATGGCGATATGTTCTCTAAATACGAATATTATCTTCCATGTATCACAATACATTATGTCTCTTAACCACTAGCCCGTATTACTTAATGAATAAATCATATGTTTATTCTAGGTACAAACAACAATGATATTTCTCAAAATAAATGTGTACATAAGGAAAAATAAAAATGAGAAAACATTATAAATAGAGTAATTTCTCAAAATAAATGTGTACATAAGGAAAAATAAATATGAGAAAACATTATAAATAGAGTTTCATTAAATTAGCATTTGTTCTTACAACAAAAATCACACACAAAGGAACCAAGTCACGTTCTATCTACACGATCCTTAAATTTTAATAGTGGCATGCCTTTTGTCAAAGGATTAGCAATCATCAATTTAGTGCTAATGTGTTCAATAACCATTGTTTTCTTTTTAACACGTTCTCTTATGGCCAGATACTTGATGTCGATTGCTTGCTTCAACTATCACTTTTGTTGTTTTTATCCATAAAGACTACAGCTGAATTATCACAGTATATCCTCAATCGCCTAGAAATCGAATCCACAATTCTAAGTCCAGAATTGAAACTCTTCATCCATACGTCATGCGAGGTAGACTCAAAACAAGATACGAACTCATCCTCCATAATGGAAGTAGCAGTCAAAGTCTGCTTTGAGCTTCTCCAAGATACAGCTCCACTAGCAAATATAAAGATGTATCCTGATGTTGATTTTCATGAATCAACACAACCAGCGAAGTCAGAATCAGAGTAGACAATCACTTCCAGATTATCAGTCTGTATGTACATAAGCATGTAGTCTTTGGTCCCCTGAAGGTACCCTATCACTTTCTTTGCAGCTCTCCAGTGGCCCACACCTAGATTACTCTAATATCTTTCCAACATTTCAACAACAAATGCAATGTCCGATCTTGTGCATACTTGAGCATACATTAGGCTTCCAATAGCAGAAGCATAAGGAATGTTCTTCATTTGTTCCCTTTCAAAATCATTTTTCGGGCACTGGTTCAAATTGAACTTATTACCTTTCACAATGGGAGCTATACCTGGTAAACAATCTTTCATTCAAAATCTTTCTAAAACTTTGTTGATATAGGTCTCTTGAGACAGACCCAAAATACCTCGACATCTGTCCGTTTGGATCTTATTGACATAAGATGTACCACCATATCCTTCATCTGAAATTTTTTAGAGCGAAATGGTTTCACCTCATGTGGTAAAATCTTATTATTGGTTGCAAGTAAAATGTCATCCACATACAGAATAAGGAAACAAATCTAAATTCCACTAACTTTCTGGGATATATATTGATCCATAATGTTCTCTGCAAATCCAAATGAAGAGACAACATCATAAAATTTCAAATACCACTAACGGGAAGCTTGTTTCAAATCATATATAGATTTCTTGAGCTTGCACACCAAATGCTCACTACCACTAGAGGAAAATCCTTCTGGTTGTTTCATGTAAAATTCTTCTTCTATATCTCTATTGAGAAAAGTCATTTTCACATCCATTTGTTGCAACTCCAAATCAAAATGTGCAACCAATGCCATGATGATACGAAGTGAATCTTTCTTTGATACAGGAGATAAGGTCTCTTTGTAGTCGATTCCTTCCTTTTGAGTGAATCCTTTAGCAACGAGTCTTGCTTTATATCTTTCAATGTTGCCTAATGAGTCTTTCTTCGTTTTATAGACCCACTTCATCCTATGGCTTTTGCACCATCGGGCAACTCAATAAAATCTCATTCTTCATTATATTCCATAGAATCCATCTCATCCTTCATGGCATTGTACCATAAACTAGACTCTTTACAATTCATGGCTTGTGAAAATGTTTTAGGATCATTTACGACTCTGATGTTATAGTTCGATTCTTGCAAATACACAACATTATCACTAGATATCACTGATTTCCTTGCTCTAGTAGATCTCCTTAATGTTGTATCAACATTTTCTTGAGGATCATGTTGTTCAACTGGTTGTTCAACAATTTCTTGCAATTCTTGAACATCTTGATCTACTAGATTGTCATCAGCAGCTTGTAGAACTTCAATGATTGGCTGTCCAGCACCTATTTGAACTTGATGGGTGTTGTGAATGATAATCAATCTGTCATTTGAAGTGGAAGGTTGATCATTAATATGATTCTTTTCAGAAACAATGTCTTGGAATCGGTCGCTAGCACTAATAAAGTCATTCTAAAAAAACTTCGCATTTCTTGATTCCACAATCCTAGTGCTGTGAGATGACAATAGAATATGTACCATTTAAACCTTTCGACATATCCAATGAAATATCCACTAATGGTCCTTGGGTCTAGCTGTTTTTCTTATGGATTGTAAACTCTTACTTCAAACAAGCATTCCCAAACGCGTATATGTCGCAAACTCGATTTTCAACCTTTCAATAATTCAAAAAGTGTCTTTGGGACATCCTTAGTAGGAACTTGGTTTAATATATACACTATCGTTTTAAGAGCTTCAGTCCATAAGGATTCATGAAGTTTGGAGTTACTTTGCCTACTCCTCACCATGTCCATTAAAGTTCGGTTTCTTCTTTCTGCTATACCATTTTGGTCCGAAAAAACAGGCATTGTGTATTGGGTAACTACCCCTTACTCTTGAAAAAACTTCGCAAATGGACGAGGTGCTAGTCCATCCTCGGTGTATCGACCATAATATTCTCCACATCTATCTATTCTCACGATCTTAATATGTTTTCCACATTGTTTCTCTACTTCGCCTTAAAAACTTTAAGGCATCTAGTGCTTCGTTCTTGTTATGTAGCAAGTAGATATACATATATCGTAAATAATCACCAATGAAAGAGATGAAGTATTTCGGACCACACAATTCCATGTCTGGACTACAAATATCTGAATGTATGATCTCTAATATGTTTGTACACCTTTTAGTACATTTCTTGGACTTGTTAGTCTACTTTCCCTTAATGCAGTCCACACAAGTGTTGAAATCAGTAAAATCCAGTGTACTAAGTACTCTATCATTTACTAATCTCTTAATCATTTCTATAGAGTTATGTTAGAATCTCCGGTGCCACAACATAGAGGAATCTTCATTCATAACACATTGTTTCATACCAGTGTGAACATGCATAGCATTATAAGTAGTATTATTTTGTAAATTAATACAAAAATGACTATCATACAATGTTCAATACCTAACAAGATCAGATTTATAAAATAAACTCAAAGATGTTTCTG